AGAGAGAGAGAGAGAGAGAGAGAGAGAGAGAGATGAGCGATACAAGAGAGAGAGAGAGAGAGAGAGAGAGAGAGAGATGAGCGATACAAGTTTGGTTGTCACTTACCTGCGAAGTGTGTCGTGCAGTCCCACGAAGTGAGAGGCGGCCATAGCCGCGGAACTCGACCACGGAGAACGAAGGAGGTTGAAAGAGAAGGCGGAGGAGGAGACTGAGAAGGGAGAGAGAAGCCATAGCTGAGGAGGGAAGAGAGAAAGACGATAAAAAAAAAAAGAAAAAAAAAAGAAAAAAAAAAAAAGAAAAGAGAGAGATAGAAGACAGCCGGAGTGAAGAGAAAGGTGGCGAGGAAGGAGAAGGGTGGCAACGACGGTGAAGCCGACCGCCATAGCGGGAGTTGACCGGAGGTGTTGACTGGGGTTGACCGGGCGTTGACCGGAAGCGTTGACCGGGCGTTGACTGGTGCTGACCGGAAGTTGACCGGGAGTTGACCGGAGGTGCTGACCAGCGTTGACCAGGGTTGACCGGGGGTTGATGCAGCGTTGACCAAGGTGTTGACTAAGACCGTTGACCATGATTTTGACCACGCTGGTGCCGGTATAATCTCGCCAAGCCTTCAGCCTACCCCTCGCCCTATGGATGTGCGCACACCCTGTGGTACTTGCTGAAGTCAAGTATGTCTGTCTCTTCTTTCTGCATTGAGTCTCTTTTGTCTAGGTGTAGGAACTCTGTGGATGAAGGATAGGGCCTCGTTGACCAAACCCCTGCCGGACTAAGTAGGGCTAAAGATTGTGTCTGACGACTTGACTGTCCCGGAGGACACGAACCCTCCCAAGGACCGGTACAGACCGGCGGGCTGCTCGGTGTGGCACGGTAGGCCCGAAAAGCTGAGCTGTGGGCTGCATAACAGGCAGCCTAAGTGTTGAGAGACCTGCTGATCGCGTCGTCCTGTTTGCGACGTTAAATAATTCCTGATGAGTTACGGGGGATCTCCTTAAATGCCTCCTGATCAGCAACAGGTCTAGTAGTGACAGCCTTAGAGTAGGTCTCGGCTAGAGACCCTAGTTGACAGGATCCCTGTCCGGATTCTGTGAGCCTTTAGATCGAGTCAGTGAGTTTGTCAGTCAGGAGTTAGAGTCTAAGTGGTGAGGTTTGGAACCGTTGACCCAGTTGTGCACCTATCACCATGGTTGAGACCCGTAGTGGGAAGAGCACTAGCCCCTATACCCAGGCTCAACAAGAGCAGATGGGCGCCCTAGTGAAAGAGAATAGAGAGAGGAAAGAGCTCCTGAAGCAGGCGAAATTGAAAGCAATCGCAGAGGAGCAGGCGGCGAAAATGAAGAAATTGGAGGAGGAGATGGAGGAGAAGAAAAAGGCTGTCGAGGAAGAAGCGGCAACAGAGGAAGCAGAAGAGAGAAGACGCAGGGAAGCAAAAGGGGAGAGTAGTGGCACGACGAATGAGGATGCAGAGATGGAGAAGAAAATCAGCGAGTGGATAGCTAATTTATCGTTGGGGGAAGATGAGGAGGCACAGTTGTATGTGCCAGGAGGAGAAGGAGGCGTTTGCCAGAGCATTAGCAACGATTGAGGACCCCCTGGAACGACAGGAGACAGAGGAGGAGAAGAAGTTGGAGTGGAAGTTGAGAATGAAGAGGGAGAAGAAGAGGAGGGAGGAAGTTAATCGGTTGACCACAGAGGTGGAGAAGGTGAGAGCCTGTTACATACTCCAATGAGTATGGGCAGAACCAAGAATCAACCAATATAGGATGAGTTTTTATGCAGTGGAAGGCTTATAACGAACTGACTCACATAGACTGACTCACATAGACTGACCTACCT